AGAGAATGAAACCGACGGCATTATCAAGAGATACGCCGACGGACGTCGAGGTAGTACCGGAGCGTGAGTAGAGTCATTCCAGCCTTTACCCCGCGACAAACAACAGCCGGAGGAATTGAACGTGAGCGAAGAAAACGGTATCTAGCGCAAAGAAGGATGCTAATCGTAAGTAAAGGTCACCTCATGAAGTACGAACATACTTACCACGAGAAGAGATTTTCTATGGAACAGCCTGCGTTTCCCAGGAGATAAGCCAACGATTGTCGGGGTACCAGATTCACTCCAACTGCCGCCCCGAACGACGCTCAGAACCTCGCAGGAATGGACCGTAAGTGAAAGCGATACCTGGCGTGAAGAGATATTGATCATAAACAAAGGTAACCCCGTCAAGTATGAACGTACTTACCACAAGCTGACCCGATTTCTTGATCCTGTTTCTTGTCTCATAGCGCGGTCGTGTAAGCTTGATAGTTGACCAAGGAAAGCTATACTTCCTCCGAAGCTGGGCTCTGGACATTGGCCTCTACATCCTACTATTCCAAGAAGCTCGCGTACAAGTGATCATAGCGCGTGTGATGGGTTTCTCCGTAGGCTAGACGTAAACATTCAGCGATTGAAAGCGGGGAATGACTGAAGGGGTACTTACCAACGCACTCTACGCAATAAACACCTCGTTTGGGTACAGGCACCATCGCCAAGGTCCGACTAGCGACATCGCTCATCAATTGTGAACGGATACGGAGGACGAGTCATCTAGCATTGGGGGGCACCGAAGCCAATCCAGTAGTCTAGCCCGATAGGCAAAGTAAATGTGGATACTCCAGGCTCAGAATGGTACGCCAAAGGATACGGAGTGGTTGTACGAACGACAAGGTACAGGCAGGTATCGGCTGCGATTCCCAGTCTGAACTCGTGGAAAACAGGAGAAGGAATGGAAAAGAATGTCGGTAAAGCAGTGAACTGCAATTGTATTGACTAAGAACAGTTCAATCCCGCGAGAACTTCTTGAAAATTGGCTTCGAAAACAAGTGCTGGCTAGTGCACAGCGTGGAATCCAATGTGAAGTTCCAGCTGATCCCATGAGCGTGGCAGAAGCCTTACTATCTCCGTGTCGCTGGCAGCATTGGTGGCACGTGTGACTGGATCAGGAACGGGGCAGTGAGGGAAGGCAGCGGGTCGGAGAAGGTAGATGGCCTATCACAGCAGATACAGCATGTGCTGTTCCAAGCTGAGCTGTACCTAGGTGCTGTTCCAGAACATGCGGAAAACGTACATCACCCTTACGAGCGTGTGTAATTGTCAGGTGCTGTTGGGAGATACGCCATCGAGTGTCAAGGTAGCGTACGCAACTATTGCCTGGAACGGTATTCGGCCTCGAAGGGATTGTTTGCGAGTGAAGGAGAAACCGTGTCTCGGCGATACCTAGCGTAAAAGGACGATAATAGTAAGAAGAAATCATGTCGTAGAGCATGAACGTACTTACCACAAGCTGATACGATTCGTGGTTTTGGCTCCTGCACGACTGTCTTATTGGCGACGATAGGGTAGTTGAATGCCTGTTTGGGGTCCGGCAAGCTCGAGAAAGCTGTACTTCCTTCAAAGCTGAACGTTGATCTGGACATCCCAATTTCGTCCTCGTGTACAGGCGATCTTACATAAAGGGAATATAGCGCGTGTCGAACCGTGATATAGGTACTTCCCGCAGGCTAAATACAAACATTAGCCACTCAAAAGGATCGAAGGACTGAAGAGGTACTCGCCACCGAACCGACCCTTGACTCCGCGAAATGAAGACCTCGCTTGGGTATAGGTTCCAGTTGGCGCCGTTACCGACAAAGCACCCTCGATATTGGAAGCTGTAGTTTCATTCGCCGACACGGGTACTTGGGATACCGAAATGAACCTAATCCAACCTAAAAAAGCGAGGAGCGGAGTGGTACGTCATCTGGGTCTATTGGGATTGGAGTTGTTGGTGTTATGTTGTCGAACTTGTGCTCCAAGAGCGAAGAGGATGGATGGACTGCAGCGCTAGAATGAAACGTACTGCGAGGTACATCATTCGAAGACCCGACTCTGGCGTATGGAAGTGGACATCGAAAAAGTTCGAAGTGGTACCCATCACTGAAGGAGTGCATCTGTGGTATCCTATGTCATTCGCTTGTTTCCTCTATCCAGCTTGAAGTGGAGAAAGAGTAGGACAATGTTGATGAGATATCCTGTGAGGTACGGCATTCTCCAGAACGCCGAGGAGCCGTTCCATGTCCTAAGCTTGAGGTAGACAAGTAACAACACCTAGAGCCAAAACACCGAATTAAAGCTGGAGAAAACCAACAGAAACGTGAGTAGAGCTCACCAAGAGCCTACTACCCCAAGAACAGATAGTGGTATCCTAACGCCGATTTCCTGTGGGCTACCCCCAAGCATCCTCGGTGTCGGGTTATGAAATGAGGGATATGGCATTCGATTGTGTTGTTCGTAGAGAGACGAAAGTATAACGGCTCAGTGGAACGAACACTCCAACACTCCTGACATCTGACGTTCCTAGCACGCCAAGGAAAGTGTTCGACCTCCAGAATGGAAGGAACATTCGACCAAGAAGTGTCAGGCTCAAAACGAAACACTTCTTCTCCGCAAAAACGAGAGTCCTGGCTCAGTTTAGGATGGTTGAGGATAGACGGGGGTGAGTGGCTAGTGAGGCGGAGCCTTGAACGTGAACAGAGACTTCGGGGTGTAGGTCAACGGTGGCAAGATATCGGTGAGCTAGGAATAGGATGTCAGCTCATCGTCATCGTCATCTCGAAACGAAGCTCACCTAAATACGTCCTCGGTTCCACATATCGATAGAGACAGCGAACAACCTTGCTACTCAATCTCTCCTCGTCTCTTCACATCCACCAAACTGCCCAAGGACCGAAAAAGTCATAACCCCAACTCTTCTTCATTTGCATACGTGGAAGAGCAGGTTGAAGGTGCGAGCAGGGCTAGGGATAGAGTGTCAGCAACGAACACATCTCGCATCGAGGAACGGGTGGCTTACCTAAACGACCACGCATCGGATGAGACAACGAAGCCCAGGTGAAAGCTTCATCGTAGACACTCGAAATGTAGCGTTCGCTCCGTCTCTAACCCTATCATCAACTCGTCGTGTATCTCCTGCCCATGCAGTCTATCCTCAACCTAGCCCCTCAAGTGTACGTTGTGCCCGAACATGGAAACGCCAAAAAAGCTGGCTGTGAGCGAGCGGAGGTAAGGAAAGGTGGATTGGGTTGTGAGCCTTTTCGATGTACGAGCTCATACCCCCCGGTAGAGAGGAAGCGTGAGTAATCGATCAACCACAACGGTGGTAACTGTCCTTAAGGTGACGGAACGTGGCCTGGAAATGTGGAGCGAATGAAGAATGAAGGGCTGCACTCGACACTGGGGTGATATCTGGGAGCCTAACGTGGACTGGAGTGGAGCCAACGAAGGAAGAAGGAAGCTGAAAGGCTGCGTTTCCCCGACAGCGGTGATGCGCATGCATGGAGACCGAAAACGTCGTAGAGTCGGAGGTACAGCCGCGTTGCGCGCGGAAGAGACGATAACGTGGAGGCTTCTGATGTGGGGGTAGAGGAACGGGGGTGTATGTCGAGCAAAGGACTGGTCAAGCCTATCACCTTCCCTGGAGAGGTGCAGGTGAAAGGGTACGGAGCTTCTGGGTATGTGTACGTGGAGAGACGGGAGTAGACGTCAAGGACACGAAATGTCAAATCTCGCTTCGGCGTTGGGAGTGGGGTGTATTTACGTATGGATGACGCGTATACAAGAGAAATATGTGTGTCATTCGGTGCCTTCGAGAAGGGTTGCGTGTTATCGTCGATGGAGTATGGTTTTTTGTAGGTAGTAGGCCTGACAGAAAGATGGGGATAGCAACAGGGTGCCACGTTCAGCCATCTTGCTCCGAAAGACGGATAAATGCCAATACATCCACATCTCATTCTCTCGTGCGTAGCAGCAGCAAGCGAAGCTACGTGGATACTGGAGCCCGAAACCGTTAAACGCCGCGGTCGTTCCTTATCTCTACGACAGTAGTCTGTGAATAGAATGCACGGCGCTGGCAGGAGATGGTGTTCTGAGAGGCGGGGGAGTCGAAGAGCTGAAGTTCAGTCAAGTGGATTCTTGGAGCTTCATGTAGTGGGAGAAGGTCCTCTATGGTGTAAACATCCACAGCACCGGTACCGACACAAGGAGCTGGTCGAGAGGAGAGTAAAGTGCAGTGTGCTTCGGTGTAGGTGCTTCTCTCTACCGTGAACCTAGAGTAAACATGAGAATTGTTTGAAAGAAAGGAAGGATAAGACGCACCTTTGGATGAAGTGGTACCTCGCGTTGGTGTTGGGGGGTCAAAGGGGTAAGGTATGGAGAAGGCGATGTGGAGAGTGAAGGGATGTGAAGGGACGAACGTAGATGCAGAGCAAAGAAACTGTCCAACGTGTGGTGTCCCTGGAAAAGAGAGCGAGGAATGGAATGTCTTCTGAGGCGATATTGTCGTCGGTGAGTGAGAGCGAACAGTTTGGGTGCGTGCGATTTCGGTTCCGGTGCATCGAAAAAAGAAACCCTCGCCGACACTAAATCATCCATATTCTCTACAGCATCTCTCCCAAGGCTCTGTTCGGGATGTGGTTCGAGAAAACGGGCCTTCACGGGGAAAGAGGTGTCGTATGGGAGACGAAAAAGGCGCTGGTGTTGGGCGCGTTCAGGGTGTGGTTCGAGTAGGAAAGAAAACGGGAAAGAATTGTCGTATGGGAGACAGAAGGATGACGTGGAAGCCTCAACGATGTAAGAGTCGCATCGCGCAGGACAAAGGCCTATAAATCGTCTATTCCACACCGTGAGCACCTAAAAGACATGAAGAAAAAGGATGAATGGAACGCGTACCAGCATCAATCGTGATGGTTGTTGAGAAGCAAACTCGGTTCCCAATGATCACACACCCAACAAAACGCAATCCCAAAAGACCATTTGTTATCTCCTGGCTGGGAGTCGAACCCAGCTTTCGCGCGGCCGTACTCGACAGGTCCCTATGACAGGCGCGTGTACTAACCGATATACTACCAGGGATAGGGTACAATTTGTATTACTCCATTCTCATCCCGTTCATTAGCCCGTGAAGTTGGCAGTACAGCATCTCGCCCGAAGACAACCATGTCCTTCGTTTACGCTCTTATAACTCTACTGATTACACCAGCCCTTTATCGCTCTAATCCAAGGAAGGCCAGGTTGTAGAAATTCAGAATCAAAGCTCCATTATACATGTCGACGACCGAAGATAGTATGCTCATCACCGGGCATCAAACTTCAATTCAAGTGTCCATATCTCCGTCACCATTCACCTTGCGCTCTTATTTTGCTCCTTCTATACAGCCTCAGAGACATATCTGTGGAACACTAACGAGGAGAGCGATCCACCCCTCGGAATCCAGATCAAAACGTTCAACCAGTGGTACCATTTCACGCGAGCTTAGAGAAGGAACAAAACAGGTGGCATAGTGACTAGTCAGCCCAATTCATCTCCCTGGCTAGGTGTCGAACCCAGCTCGTGAGCATCCCCAAGCTATGCATACGGCACATGTACTAACTGAATACCAGGGGTACATTCTTTCCTCTTGATGGCATGAATCTATCCGAGTCCGATCCACTTCGACCCGTTGACTATTCATTTTCGAATGAGGCCACAAACTATGTGTGTCATACACGAATCTCCCTGGCTGGGATTCGAACCCAGCTTCCGCGCGTCGCAGCTGATATTTACACTATGAACAGCGCGTGTATTGACCGGTATACTACCAGGGACCTCCTGGCATCGAGGGTTGATAGCATGTATATACCAAACAGGCTTTTAGTATGAAACGCTGGTCTTCGTTTGCAATGTGGAAAATGGTACTTGTGTCTGGATTCCTGGATGCTACTGCTGCAAAAACGCGCAGCCGGGAAAGTGTCGAACACTTCCTGCCGACTATTCTCTTCCAACTCGGTCCCCAAACGGAGCCAAAAACCACTTGTGTTTTGCACGAAGCACCCTGACTGGGATTCGAACCCAGCTTTCACGCGCCATCCTCACAGATAGGTGCGTGTACTGACCGGTATACTACCAGGAATAGCTATCGATTAGGTTTTGGTATCATTGAAGTCGCGTTTCATAATATTAACTGCCATTTCCTTCATTTACGCCATCTATGCCGTAGCTACTTCTGCAAGACTTTCCCTTTATACCATTCCCTCATGATAGACGCCCATAGTAGCGCTCGTTACTCAACTAACCGTCTGATAAAACACGAAATCGGACACGGAGATGTTACCTCCCTGGCTGGGAGTCGAACCCAGCTTTCGCGCGGGGATATATCGAACCTGGACATATGACAGGCGCGTGTACTAACCGATATACTACCAGGGATACGTACTAACGTTGGTCTTCCATTGCTATCACGCTTGTCTGTTCAAAGCATCGTGTCCCATGACAACCACGTCCTCCATTTACACTCTGATAACTTCACCGATTACCCAACCTCAGGCTTGTATCGCTCTATTATAGATGGAATGACTCGGAATGCTCGGCACCAAGATCCAAGTATCCGTATCTCCCTCGATCCTATACGACCCCAGAGACTATTCTGATAGCTCCAACAAACAAAAAACAAAATATGGAAGTCAAAGGAGGTAGCCATATCTCCCTGTCTGGGAGTCGAACCCAATTCACGCGCATATAGTATGGTGACCAAGTCGCTAAGCTACCAAGAGCACATGAACTAACGGCGGACACACACTAGAGACATACACTCGTCGTAATGGCATTCCAGGGTATCGACAGACGCGCCTGTGAGAATACCAGCAGCGGCACGTCGGGCTTTCGTTGCGACTCAAGTGCACGACGCTATATGCAGAATCCTGCGGCCAAATGGATATCCCAAATGGGCGACACCCTCACAAAGCTCCCGATTGAAACCGAAACTCTCACGTGTCGCGGCTAGCGTGGATCGCTAGCCACATGACAGGGGCGTGTACCGGTGAACCATGTTCATCAGGTTCTGCTATCATGGATAGTTGCAAATCTATTAACCACCATGTCCTCCACTCCGCGCCTCATGACTCCCATGGCGTTCAATTATAGCGTGAACACTCATTCAAAACCTTCCGTTATCCTACAGAACCAGTCCCCCGGTCGGCCAATAGCATCGGTGGTTCTGGTATAAAGCCGCCCGCTAGAGGCGCGCATACGTACGCGATGCTTGCTCAGAGCACTGACGAACACCTGCACTACAAGACTGAAGTTAAAACTCGTACTCGAAGGAACGACCTCCCTGGCCGGGAGTCGAACCCTGCTTGCGCGCGGCGTGTGGCCCTTCAATATCGATTGATGACAGCGCTTACGAACCGTGATAAGACCAGGACAGGCTTGGTCGTTGATAAGTACGGGTACAGCGAGCAGAGACTTGGTTTGGAGGTTCAACCTCTCCATTCCGCGTTCTATCCGATCAGCGATCTCCGCATCATACTCGGTGAGGACCAAAATTTGGAAAATATCCCTCAATCCGCTTAGCCCCACTCCCCAAAGTAGTCCCAGACGGCTAATCAGTCTGGAAAGGTCTCATCCAATCCTACCTAGAGCGAGCCGACTAAACATTCGATGCTAGGGGGCGGGGGGTGGGGGGAGGGGGCGGGGGGGGGGGGGGGGGGGAGGGGGGGGGGGGGGGGATTGTACGTCCCTGGCTGGGAGTCTAACCCAAATTTCACGCGCGCAAGCATTCAGTTGCATACATAGCTAAGCGGGTGTACTAACCAATGTACTACCAGGATACATCCTTGTTTTGAGACATGAACCTATCGATCCGCGTCTACCGTGGGAGGCGAACAACTGACCAGAGATGACCTTGGTTAACTCGACAGTCTTCGAATTCCGTGATGCTGATAATCCCATTGTTCATCTCTTCGATGTAGACCGCGAGTAACATCATGATTTCTTGCTTCTGTTCGCCTTGCAAGTGTCGCCTTCCTTTTTCGTTGCCTGGTTCGCCACAATGCTTCCAAATTGAGTCGCTTCTTATTCGCGCGGCGGGATCCCTCAAGTGTATGCTCGTCTGTCAAACGCCGCATCACAATCGACAAGAACCAATGCTGCAGCGCGCCACAAACTAAAATAGGTGCGATACAGGCACACCTTTGAGACGTCTTCTTTCGGATGTAAATGTGAATAACTCTTAATTTGACGGCTCAAACTCTTACGAGTCGGAAGTGACTAAAGTATTGAACGCTTTCAAACACCCAACTCTGCAAATCAGCTGGCTAGAAAATGGAGTCCCTAGTCGATATACAACTTTGCTCACGATGCGATCCCAGGACATAGTCGAAAAGCATCCAAATAAGCGTGAATGCCATCAGTCGCCTAGATCACATTACAATTTCACACCAAACATCATTGATCACATCACCTTTGACATGGAAATTTTCACGGATCCCATGTCTCACTGTCAAATTAATGTTTGAATCGGTATATGCCGACCCGATGTAGCGAACGAGAAGATCTGGAACTTGAAGCGGTTGACCAGACGCGGATATAGAGTTACAGCACACCAAAAAATCATAGAAAAACCTCGCAATACCGTCCTCAATTCTGCACTCGAACACAGTATCACTCGGTCATGCTCTCTCATCATGTAAAAGACCAGCATCGTCGCTGCCCTCGCCGCTCGTGCGGCCGCCAACACCAACTCCTGCTTACGGCCACGGCCAAGCCCGCTAGCCAGTGCAACGTAGGAAACTCCAATGCTGTGAGTCCTTCCATCGTTGAGAGCCCAGCGCAAACCATGAACCCTTTTCACAGGTGACAACTGTCGCAAAGGCTGGCTCCCCCCCGACCAAGGACACTCGCACTGTGGGCGCAAATTTTCAAGATTGAACGTACCCATTGGCCTTCAATGTACCCATCACTGTCATTGTGTTTAGGAACATCCTGTTCGTACTGTCTGATTGGCAGTCTAGGTTGGAAATCTAGGATACTCAATGCATAATGCAATAATTGTACAGTGCGCTCAGCCCGTCTGCGTAAGATAACAACGTCAGTAAGATCACAGTTCTCTTATCATTTCGCTTTGCTCATACGCTGCATTTCCTGTTCAAGATGGGTTCGTTCTGCGATGGAGTGCATCCCCCGATTGATGGCCATGTTTAAGGAGAGATGTTGGGATGGTCATAGACGTAACTAAAGGATCGGTGCAGCGCGTTAATTATGGTGGATTACCCCTGAAACATTACTTGACGTTTACGATTTTAATGCAATAGTATATTGCCCATCAATATTGAGTGTGGTACTCAAAACGTCAAGATTTATGAGGTTCGAACTGATGGTTGTAAACAGACACGCACAGAACCCAATATTGTTCGATAGACATTAGAGGCCTAGATCATCTATAAGCACCAAATGACCCAGAAAACAAGAAGCCAAAAAAAAAAAATCAAAAAAAAAAAAAAAAAAAAAAAAAAAAAAAAACTACATTCTTCATGGTCGAGCGCCCTGACTGGATTCGACACCCTGCGTGGGCGCTGGTCATTCTTCAATCGATGCCGCATGTACAGACCCGGTTAGACTACCAGGGCCACAGTAATCGATAACGGGTGTGTACCAGCACTTGGCAACAACCTTTCAGATTTCCATCCGACACTACTGGGAATGAAGTTATTGAACACCGTGCACGATCTCGATGATAACGAATATGTGGCTGAGGACTCTCGTCCTCGCTCATCTCATCGACATACCTTCAGTTAACACAACCCCGCCCAGCTGAGGTATGTGTTCCGCAAAAGGAAAGGAGGACCGAAGAGTAACAATTGCTTACTTCCGGGTCAAGCGCTTAAACGTAGCTGTTAGCGCTTGACCCGACCTCATCCTGCCGGCGATTTTCCGTTTACTTCATGCTCGAGCATAGGCGCTGAGGTCTTTGCTTTTCCGACTCCCATCATCAAGACGGTTGGGGAACGTCAGATGCCTTTCGTATGGATCAGTGATAGATACACTATCCGCACCTTCGATAAGTGCTTGTTAGCGTATCAGGTCCTCACAACGCTTCCCGTGGAAATAGTCACCGTAGTGCCGTGGCCGTCGATGATCAATGCATTGCCCACCAAATGAATACCAAGCTGGAAGACCAATGGCCCGCGGATCAAGTATAAAACTGGAGGACCTGTCCTTCCTCCTCGCCTGGGCCTCCGCATGCAACGAAAAGAAAAGGGAAGCCTGAGTCTTGTCAGAACCCAGTTCTGGCTCAAAAAACTCGGTTAGATGGAATAATCCGACTCCCAAAGCATCGAATAAGACACCTTTCCGGTTGAATTGTTAACCGAGAGTGATTCAAACAAAGTCGCAACGAGTTCGCCAACCTCTCTAGTCAACCGATACACACCTGGAACCTGGCGCGTGTAGGTCGTAAATGGCGCGAAATCGCTTTCGCAACATCCCGAATTTATGGACCGAGTATCATTATCAAGTGACCTCCCAGTTTCCAGCCACACATCCGACATCAGTAAGATTTACACGTCACGTCTTTACCGACGACATCGAATAACCGTCTAGGTGCAACTGTGCCACTTGCAAAGAACAAACTGGCCGTTCTATCAAAGTCCATATCGATGTGTGCACTCGCGGAATGCCGGCGTACTCCCAGATGCTATCAAACGCTCATCACGGGAACCCAAACCCCAAAACTGGACGTCGTTAGATTTCCAATTTCTGTCGATCTCCTCAGGACTCGTCGTCTATCTTGTACCTGTCCCCTGGCCGTGTCGCTGCCACGCCCATGTACCATAACCTCGCACGCGTAGACGCTCTCCGGTCCAATGAACGCGAATAAGGCAGTCACGACCTGTTGTTCACTGATATCGGCTCACTGCATCTGGAGGCTCGTGAAGTGACGCAACTGAGGTGAACAACAAAACCTTTGCTGGATGAACTCAGGCTGCCCGGGTGAGGTTCGAACTCACCACCTTCCGATACAACTCGGATGCTGGAACCGACTCAGCCATGGGCAGATGCTATAGATAACGTGGAGCTCCATCACACAATCACAATTGGCGTAATTAGAAGCTGGGCTCCCCACTCCTTGCTTTTGCTTTTGCTTTTGACCTCGTCCTTCTCATCGTCGCTTCCATAGGCTCAGAGTATGCTCTAAGACTTCTTCCTGCGTTTTTCTCACCGTGATCTGACTGATCCTTTGATTCATAGCCTCCACGTCCCCATCAATCGTTCGTCGCCTTTCCGTTGTGATCATAACCTATGCCGACCACAACGTTAGCCTGTACCCTAACTAACACGAAGGAGAAACTCGACATTGCTGCTCTCTAGTTCCACAACTTGAAATATTCTCCTTCTGACTCCATGAACAACGCGGAAGATGGTTGATAATCTATGATACACGAGCTGAGAAGAGTTACGCGGACGAGGTGTGTTGGTTATAGCTGTCCGTCGACGCCATGTGCTGATCTTCGTTCAAGGATCCCATTCCTTTATCCCCCTCCAACTCGTCACCGTTCCCCAGAGCCAACGTCTGTCCCCGCCATGTTTGTATTCGTTCAAATGTCACCTGAATTCAGTCTCTTTACATGTTCCCTGCACTTGCTTCAACGCAGAGCTCAAATCAAATTGAAATCGGCGCTTGTACAATCCTCTAGGATCCAAATTCTTCGCCACGCATGTCTAAATCAACACTTTGTACCGCCGCTTCGATTGGAACCGATTTGGTACATTCAACGTACGTCTCTCAGCCCTTATCTTCTTCACAGAGGTTAACTCGTGTTGCTTATTTCTTTTCAAAGGAACATTCTCCGCATAGATCCTTACCCAGAATCTCCCAACCCTATGGAGATTGATGTCGGGATTACCTCTCTTCCTCAAGCTCGGCTGGGCGGAAAAACGAGTTGACTCTCTTTGAGTACTCTCCCCGCCGGATGATTTGTCGTCCGCATTAGCGATACAACATATCCTAATGCCTGGAGGGTGCGTTGGTCTAATTTCTCTATCGATGTCTAAGGCTGATACGTACCCTCTCGTTCAAGGTTCCTACAGTACTTCCTCCACTCTCATTTTACCTGGGCAATCATAACACCCAACGTGCAAGGTACGTCTTCAACTTCCCGTTAACCTGGATCCCTCTTTCCGAGAAACGACTCAGACAAAGCACGTTTATTTCAATACGCGAGTGGAATTGCTCATGTATATTCTTAGCCTGTCGAGTAATACCACGCGCTGGTTAGATGGTCTACTTCCGCTGCTTCTGATAATTAAAAAACGTGTATTCAATGTGTGTCCCTACAATCTTGCTTCTTTCTCCACTCGCTCACCTCTCCAATCGCTCACCGTAGGATCTTTCGCCATCGACACCGATCTTTACCTTTGGTTATCAGACCTATGACGCGCGGTGTGTATGTTGCTATGTTTCGGTCTCTCCTCTTTCTCTACATCACTGCATCCTTGATCGGAGTAGTCGAGCATTTGTGCGTATAAGCAATGAAAACGTAAAACGTTATGTATGTACAATTCAATATCCAATGTACTACAATCATGATTACGCGCAAAATTTATGACGTTCATGTAACCTGAGAACCATTTTAAGGGACAAAAGGAAACTGAAGAGGGGATATTTCCGTTACAGGGATTGAACCCTGAGCTATCGCTCTTACACCAGCTGACATCCCTGATGAAAGGCGATAATGTTAGCCACTACACTACAACGGACGGAGTAGCGTCGGTTCTTCTTGATTATGATTGGGGGTTTGTTAAGTGAATACAGAATCAAACGTGGGAGAAGAGAGAAGTCTGGAGTACAACGCGTGTGGGTTCGCCTCGTCCCTTTCCTTTACCACTCATATTGCCCTACAAACGTTAGGCCGTACACTAACACGAAAGAACTCGTCACCTGTCTTTCCCTTTGCGATACCAGGACTACAACCAGCCCTGAAAATGATCCAGGAATATCAGTAGCTAAGGGGAAGAGTACGGTGCGCTGATCACAGTTGGCCTTCGATGATGCCTCGCGCTGATCTACTCTTCCAGACCTCGAATGGAACCTTCAACGTTCAACTCTTACCTACCGTTCCCCAAGAACGTCTGTTTATCAGGCGTCGTTTCAAGCTGACCCGTATCTTCTGTTCGAGCAAGAACGACTACCTTCCCCCTTCTTTGGCGCATACCAGCGCTTTAGATCCCTGGAGCCACGAAAGGTCAAATAAGCGGCCAAGGTAAGCTCTTAGTCTTACTCGCCTGAGCCCCTACAATATGTAGGCAAAGTAATGGACTCTCTAATTTGTGATGACTTTCGAGCGCTATACGAGTAAAATAGTGGCTGGATTTAAAATACATTACACAACCGAGCACACGATCCATCATGAGCTAGTGGAACTTCTGCCCTCATTTCACCAGCAATACCTCGTTCCCAGAACCTTCCGAACTATTACTCACTTTCAGTACCATGCCAGACTGAGCAAGTACCTTCAACTTCTCGAAGGACGTCGCACCTTGAAAAAATAAGGAGCCAGACAGAAGGGTTCCTACTCTCGATTTCAACACGGCTGCCACTTCTGAATAGTAACGATCCCAAGGTGATACCGACGGATACGATCTCGGAAAGTGTAAAAAACATATTTTAGTGTTGTCTGTGAGGCCATCATTAGAATATCGTCCATGACAGCAGAAAATACATACCTTTGGATTCAGAAGAGACCTCACCGATCTAGATGTAAGGGTACTCCATGCGCGAGATGATCTAGTAGCTCGAATTGCATGTCTTAGCCGCGGTCCTAGCCGAAGTAGATGAAGAACCTCCGTGTAAGGCGTCTTGTACGCCGCTGAATCTCGACTACTCGAGAAAGGAAACAGACGAGGCCCTGAGGCCGAGAGAGCACGACCAACGTGGATTCGTGTACGGAGTAGACAAGATACAGGTGAGATGAGGTAACTACGGCCGAGACGGCTTTATATAGTCGAGGACGTAGGTAAATAAGTGCAAGCAGATAAGTGATAAGAAAGGAAGATAAACCGAAAATGGGTGGGCGCCTTACATCCTCCCCGGCCAAATCGCCAACGGGGTCGCGATTTCTAAAGTATCGAGTAAAGTAAAGCACAGGGAAGATGAAGAAAATTAGAATGGATGTAATTAAGGGTGATAAAGTGATTGAGAGGGGTGTGCTTTGTGGTTTTCCAATAGGATTATGTGTGGGGCATAGGATGATGAAGGGCAGCGACGAGCATGCTGGGCATGGACATGGTGTTGGTTTGGTAGCGGGAGAGAAAGGATGATTGTGATGATGCGGGGATTTTTATCGGCTTGGGGGGTATGATGTGACGGACATTACTGCTTTTCCAACGATAGTTGGATACAGGTTACACCAATGAGGTGCATAGTGATGGTGGGTGGCTTGGGACAATAGCCCTGCAGTATTAGTTGGAAGATGTCTCGTCAGAAGAGGGGTAGTTGTCATCAAAGACGGATAGTTCTTCACGGATAGCCCCATGTGCCTCATCCGCAGATGCATCAATGAGCTCATCAGAGAAGAGCTCTACCCGGTACGGGTCTCCGCTTTCCGAACTGGTGGTATCGTCCTCGACAATAGCAGCAAGTCGGGGTGCGCCAGCGACATATTTTTCGCAAGCTTTGTCATTCATGAAATGCCCTTTCTTTCCACATGCAAAGCAAGCACCCTCGGAGTTTTTGTACGTCAAACGAACACGTTTGGTGACTTCGCTTTGGCCAGTGGTAGCCTTGGATGATGAAGCAGGTTGCTTCTCCTCTCGGCGGCTCGTGGGGCGTTCCACCTTTGCCTGGAGGACTGTTTGGGACCGGAGCCGGACACTGGCTGGGTACATGTTATTGGCATTCCATCCTTTTTCAAGGGAAAGTGCTTTCTGCATGATCTCGTTGACTGAATTATCTTCAGGAGTCATGCCGGCATGTCCAAGCTGAACACGCATCTCTTGAGGTAGACGGCGGACAATTGCAACCTTGAACTTGTTGAGCGACGGAGGCTCTGGCATACGTTTTGCACAAAGATGAAGTTCAGCGAAGAGTCTTCGAGCGCCACCTTCAGGACAGTATGTGATAGACTTGAATACTCGCTTCATCTCGTGAAGGGTGTCTTGAAGGATGAAACGATTGAAAAGGCCACGAAACACTTCCATGAAGGTATAGTCGTGTTCACGGTAATCTCCTCCTGAGTAGTATGTTGAAGGAACTTCATCGATGATTTCATCGAACCATGATTTGGCTGTGCCAACAAGGTTAGCGCCAAGAAGAATAGTACGGTTTGCGTCCTCATTAGTGATTGCCCATATACCATCATCGTCTTGAATACGGGGTGGTCCAGTGAGTCCAAGGACTCTGCAACGTTCTATAAGTCCGCGAAGGAAGGTGTCCAGTGCAAGGACACTACATTCACCGTCATATGAGGTGAGCTTTGGCATGGAGTTGACAAGTTCTCTGCGTGCCTTGGGATCATTGATTATGCCACGCTTCTGATATAGCCTGTACTCAATGCGATCTGCAAAAGTTCCAAATACGCGATCTCGTAGAGGGATGTTGGGGTCGTAGTCCAGAGCACGGTAATCAAAATATTCTTCACCAGGTAAACGTTCGTTACTGGGCGGTATAACTCCAAATGGTGTTCTACGCTCTTGGAAGACGGCAGTGGGTCGATGGGGTGCGTTATTCCCAGAACGACGGGAGTTTGATGTGTGATGACTATGACCATCATTTGGTGGCTCAGATGGATCATCTGGTGGTCCAGGTGGACGAGGTAAAAGCCTTGATGGAGGACGAGAGTTGCGATCATTCTGGTTGTGTCGAGGTGGTTCGTGACGATCACCTCCTCGAGGGTTCGAGTTTCTGCCGGAGTCACTTGGATCATTCGGATCACCATCATTAGGTGGAACAGGTGGAATCGGTGGGACTGGAGGCTCAAATGGTGGAGCTGAGCTGGGGTGACCTCTAGAGCGAGGTGTTGAAGTCCTTGGGTGGCTGGGCGGTTGAGCTCGAATTGAGGCATTTGAACCATGAAGACTTGGCGATTGATTTTCTTCAATTTTGATCTCTTCAACAGTTGACGTAGAACCTCTTCTGGAACGCGGGGCAAGAAATTGGCGAGTAACCGGCGTTTGTGATGCTGGACGAGGTGTAAACTCTGCTGGTAAGAGACCTGGGGTGGTACCAGGGACTGGTGGGCGGATAATGCGAGTACGGCCACTCTTGTTGCGGTTCAATGAACTCTTATGCTCACGGTCTCGGATATTAGCTAGAACGTGGCCTGGAAGCTGTCTCTGAGGGACTGATGGAGTGTACTCATGGGGTGGTATTGACCACGACTGACGGCGGAAGGCATTTTGGCGTGCCTGAAAGTCTTGAAGAGATTCACCGGGACGACGCCCAGCAGAAAGCTGGTCATGGGCAGCAGAAATGTTTGGATCCACATAATTAACATCTTCACGGGGCGGTGCAGGTGTATGAGGGGTAGCATGGGCACGGTGGCCATTATATTCATTGAAAGCGGTATGTACATCTTCGACGGCAGGTCTTGTAGCATATCTGGCATCTTCATGTAACGCCACGTAGGCGGATTCCAATGATGAACGGGATTGTCGACTCGGCGACGGTGACGGCGAAGGCTGATGGCTTGATTGTGCGTCTTCGAGGGCACGGTCACGTAGGTTGTACGTCTTGTTCAATTCCCGTTTGATGGCATAATAACGTGCTCGCAAGGAAGCAATAGCCTCTTCTGGCTGACGACCATTCTTCGCGATGCGGATTTCATAACGTGCATCTTCGAGTAAATCCTTGAGCTCGTGAATACGGTTCTTGATGGCTTCAGGGACTTTCGGGTTCGACTTTTGAGTCGAGCGGGAGCGGGAGGTATGAATAGAGAGGCTGGAGTGTGAACGAGGTGGAATGAGACGAGGTTCCTCGTCGTCGGAAGCGTTCGGAGCTGTCTTCGAGTGCGTCGACATTGCGGGGAACAGTGAGAAAGGGCGAAAAAAATTCCTTGACGGGTTCTTGGCCTATTGCCGAATCCGGACGAAAAGCTGTTGAGCTTCGGGAGTTTGCGACGAGCGCGGAAAGCTGGTCCTGATGACGAGCGTACACCAATCTTGTATTGATGCTCAAAAAAATGTAAGGCGTCTTGTACGCCGCTGAATCTCGACTACTCGAGAAAGGAAACAGACGAGGCCCTGAGGCCGAGAGAGCACGACCAACGTGGATTCGTGTACGGAGTAGACAAGATACAGGTGAGATGAGGTAACTACGGCCGAGACGGCTTTATATAGTCGAGGACGTAGGTAAATAAGTGCAAGCAGATAAGTGATAAGAAAGGAAGATAAACCGAAAATGGGTGGGCGCCTTACACTCCGTATCATCAAACGGCATTTCATTCAATTCGAGTATACGGAATGGTGTCGAAGATTCGCTTTGAAGCAGAAACTTCAGAACAACTTCATGTAACCGTGACCGCCCTTCACATTGTAGCTCGTGTGTGGTACCGCTGGATTCCAGAACAAGCGATTGCAACGAAGGCGTGTACGAGATGGTATCCAAGAGGGTTGTGGCATATTGGTATGAAAGGTGAGATTGCCGGAAGACATAACTGATCCTGAATGTGAGATATTGGAGGGCGGGGAGTGCGATTTCAAGGTGACGGCGTACTGCTTCGCACATTTCTTGTCCCAATCGAGGATTGGAATTCGCCGCATTATGTGACATCATGAAATATATCACTAAGCGTACAGAGACCAATGTCTTGCTGCTAAGCTTCACGATTGTGTACATAATATCGATTGGAAGGGAAAGGTTGACAGAGTTCAGACGGGACAGGAAGAAGGAACGTTCAAGGAGACGGCAGTCCGTCCATCGTGGTACATGTTTGGACATTTCGTCTCGATAAAGCGTAGTATTTCTTCAAGATGCTCCTGCGTCATGTCTTTCCAAGGCCACACTGTATCGATTTCCAACTTGCGAACTGGGAGCCTATCGGTTAACCTGTCCAAACGCTTCAGGAATGGCGAGGAGTCCTCGAAATCCCCACGAAAACGAATTGCTTCCCATAAATGACTTTTTGGATCAAGAGCGATGAAATTTTTGATCTTGGGGACCTTGGAAAAAGTGACAGGCTCAGGGGCCCAGGATTCTTCGATCTGATCGAGATGTCGATTAAATGTCTCGCACACATAGTCATGGTGTATTTGTTGCATTGAAACTAAACCGTAGATCAAGATTCGAGGCACCTCAAAAAGGAGTAGTATAATCGAATACGCATTCCGTTACAAGGACTCGAACCTGGGGCTATCGCGGGGTTTGAATGAGAGGCGATAATGTTCACCGCTACACCATAACGGATGTAGTTATGCAATTTTTCTCCTCATTGGGATGCGATAGATCGTTGGCCCGAATTCCACTTGCAATTACCTGTACTCTTTTAGTCCGGGAGTAATGAAGATGTGTGGCTTGGAGGGGAAAAAACCAAAACATGCATTCAGCGTGGTTATGTCCGTCCCAGGGAATCGAACCCTCGGCAGTCGCCTTTAATAGCTACAAATGAGCGGCGCTACTACACCATAACGGAGATCCACAGGTAAGGTTCGATATTGATAAGAACCTTTGGAATAATTACCGTCGGATTTGGATTATCGTGTGTGTGAAGAGGAGGGAAGAAGCCTAGTTTGAAATAGAATCGGATAGGTTCAGCCTTGTCTATTCAGCACAGATAGCATAGCGTCTATCTCAAAGTTTCTTGTCCGATAGTGGTCGAAGTTAGCACGAATTCTCGACTTCTGTGGCAGATAAGACACAGAAAGGAAGGACAGCTTGTTCGACGGTATGTTGGCTCACTGTCTCCCCTTCTAGAACGCCTCTAATTCCATCGCTCTAGACAAGTAGGATAGGATGTACTGATTCACGTCTTCAAGACTCGGATTACCCACACTTCCTCTCAACAGGTATCCTTCTCAACTAAGAGAGCGATATACGATGTAAAAAATGGCCATCGATGTAAAATAGTCTATGAATGTTACGCCACTGTTCCCCGCATTGGGTTGAACGTCTAGGACAGAAGTGAGAGACAAAAACAGCCGAAGAGCCCACCGCGAGGGTCAAGCTCGCAGCCTTCAGATACTTAAAGCCTTCTCCGCTTTCCCATAAGAGTCTAGTGCTCCATCCGATTGAACTATGCGGGCGATGGTGGTTTTTAAAGGCGCGTCCACCCTCGGCAATCGACATAGCGCTGATAACCTCCCTGTACGCGTCTTCTTTTGCTCGACACGAATCGCTGTCAGTTCTGATTGAGATGTCCCTAGCTGACATGGTTGTACGGGAACGCCGAAGACATGAAACTGAATACTTGCCTGCTAGAAGAATGGAACGTGGGGAGAAGCGAAGAAAAGGACTGTGACACGTGTTTACGACATCAGTGGAACCTCGGACACCCCGGTTCGCTCCGTTTCTTTCCTTCGCGTCTCATGTCCCCACAATCACTCCGTCTACTTCAACGTATGTCGTCCCTCCGTCCATTCTATCCACGTTCCGCTTACTCCCTTCTGTCAGCTCGAATTACATTTTTCATAATCATTACTGTAGGGTAGCTACTACAGTGCTTCTGACCACCATGTTGGTCGTCCTTCCCATCATCGCATCCACGGGCTAAACGTTCAGTACGTGCTAAGATTTTTCCTATGCTTTTCTCACCGTAATCTGACTATGATCCTTTCATTCGTAGCCTCCACGGCTCCATCAATCGTGCGTCACCTTTCCATTGTGATCTTAACCTATATTGTCCAAAACGTTAGTCCATACCCTTATCAACAAGAATGAAGAATTCGACGTTGTGATTCTTCGACTCCACGCTCATTTTACCCTTCCAACAACACAGACCTAACCGGAAGATGATTCATGATGTTTCGACAACTGAGAGGAAGTATAAGGATAAGGTGCGTTGGTTAGATTTGTCCGTCGATGCCTGGTGCCAATTTTTGTTCAATGATCCTGTTTCTGCATACTCCTTCAGCGCTTCAGCTCCCATCACCGTTGCGCCCTCCAGGCTGTCATACATCCAACGTCTGTCCTCCGCTGTGATCATACGTCAACCCAGTCCATTCCCTTCACGGCATCGCCTACTCCCTGTCTCCACACTCACTTGAACACAGAGTTGGAGATGGCGCTTAGATGTTGGAATCGTTGAAGTTGGAGGGCACCGTACGTCCTCACTGTCTATCCTTTCCTCCACGTCGCACTGATTGTGTTCTATCCTCTTAAGGATCTACGATCTCCGCGCGCCACCCATCTCTGACCCGGCCTCCGAGCACCGTCATCCTTCTACCTGTCTACTGGGAAAGACATAGCAGATTCAAAGTACGTCCGCTGGTCCTTATTCTCATTCTCAGATGCTAATGTGTATTCTTTCTTCTCATAGGAACTATTGCTTCCTTCCACACCTTACGCTTTGTCTCTGACACATGATCAGGGCTCACTCCATCGCAATGTTAGTTCTATCCTTTCCAATCACTTAGCACTACATACTGTCCGAGGCGAGTTCGGACCCAGAGTCTCACATCCAAACATGAAGGGTATGTCTTTCCTCTGTTTCTCCCCCAAAGCTCAACCAATCAGAGAGTAACAGGAACGCAAACACAGTTTTTGCTCTTACATGTAGTCGACAAGTGATCGAGTATTCTCATATCAGGGACACGCCATATCCATGTTCGATGGGTGTCGACTCTCGAGCGATAGCAACGAGGACGAGGGTGCGTTATTTCGTTTATGTGTCATGATGATGATTCTTATTCCTGTCGTTCAAAGATTATACGTGAACCTCATCCATCAAGTGGTCATCACATACCCAAAGTGCAAGGTACGTCTCCGAACGTTGACCTGTTCTAAGTGAATTGCACAATCAGCGTGCTCAGGTAACTTATTGAGACGAAGCGTTCGAGGTGAGTTACGGGGCACCTTGTCTATGGTATTTCAAGGAAAAACCGCGGGCATTCGTCATTGAAGGATTATAGTGAGGTATGCTCGTTGCTTGTGTAGTAACGCCACGCGCTGATCGATCTCTTGCTCTGTTAGAGTTGGAGGCATACGTCCCCTGCTTTACCGCCCCCCTGATATTGGAAAAGAAAATAAGTGCATTCAAGGGTCAACGTGCATCATGTCCGCTTCAATCTTGCTTCGGTTTTAATCTGTCCCCACACACTCATTCAATTTCTCTCCACTCTCTTTTCACTGGCTCGGATTCCCTTGAACACACAGCACCTGGCATATTGCCTGGTAACAATCAATGCGTAATGCCGCGTTGATCCGTTTGTTCGCCCCACACTTCTCAGCACAGTTATTTATTTAGGGTATTCTCAGCTTGTATATCGTGCTTGTTACTACTCTGGTAAAGGTTATATCTACACATACTTCACTCAGAGATACAAAGATTTGGGAGGGTGTCAGGCGATACCAAACTGCATGACGCCATGAATTTTACTAGGGACTGCACGATATTTAGGTCTGCCTGCTTTAATCCATCTTTGATCCATCTCGTTGCATGGAATCGATCTGATATATTTTCTTCTGCCAGCACGAGTGGTCGATGATCAGCGGCAAAAAAAAATAGAAATACCATATTGGGAAATTTTTTCACATCCGCGAGGAAAGCACTGGTAACCACTCATAAAATTGTTTGCTCTCCTAAAAATTTTACTTAGGAGAGCAGAGAGGGTCCATAAGACATGATTCCACCCAAATTTCCGGGTAGAATAAAATCGTTGTTGGGGGTGTTTTGTCGAGCCCTCGTTCATTCTGGCGCGATGTGAATAAATTCCCTAATATAGTGTTTCTATTTTTCTCGCCGCAACTGTACATATAAGTGCGGCTTGTTTCTTCAAGCCCCCTTTCTCATACACCCATCATGATATGGCATACATTGTGAGTGTTCAAATTTTCCCGTACCATTGCTAAACCGATTATGTCCAGGATAATTCTAATATCACTTGGGATCGTGAATGCATTTAGCATAGCACCTCTGCCACCAATAGTCACTCAGTCCGTCGATCTAACAATTACCTGGTTCAGGGAGCCGACGGAGACAGATAGTTTCATTTTAATGAAGAGCGTTGTAAACGAAGGACAACCAGGAAGTAACGCGATAGTCAGTGTAGATGTTACGCAGGGGCAAACTGCTGGAATAGCCACGATTCCTTTCTATCAGGCCAAGTCAGCAGCCATTACCGCTCTTCCGTTTTCAATTTCTTATTCAAAGTACAGATCATTCGTAATGTTAGCAGGACAAACCCTCAGCGACGGTGAAACTACGTTTGTCCAGCTTCTGACTACCGTTTCTGCCGACTTACATAACCGCTGTAGTACTTTTTTCATGGATTCGCAAACCATGACGGCTCTGAGAATCCCATTGACTCAATCCTCTCCGCCCTCGACGTCAATTGCCTCGCCCAGTATTCACATACCCTCTCACACTTCTACTGCTGTCGCGGCCACCGACTCACCAGAGACTATTCACACTTTAACCGCTGTCGGGTTCACCGACTCACCACAGACTTCGCGCAAAGGACTTGAGGGAAAATCCGAACCCAAAATGCCGCAAAAAACCGGTATCATTATCGGTGCTGTGGTTGGTCCCATTGTTTTTCTAGCTTTGATCATCGCAGCTATTTGCATCAGGCGTAGGAGCACCAGAAAAGGGCGCCCATTTATTACTCCTTACCCCGACAGCCTACCGATAAGCAAACATGGGAAGCACAAACATCATGATGTGCATGGGACAAGGGATAGTGAAGAAGATAACAGAAACGTTGCCGGTCTTCCAAATGACACTGTCGCCGAGCCAGAAAGAACGAGTGGACAGCAGCTCACAGGAAGACGGATCAGATATCATGAGGACAGTGGATGGAGACCACGACCGCCGCCTTCAGAATCAGGTACCGGGAACTCGGATGTGATTGATATCCCACCTCGGTACAATACCGCTATTTGAGCGTCATGCATCGTGTACCAAAAGAATTAATTGATATACAACTCGTTCAACTATCCGCACAAAAGATATCCTATTGACTCGAGCCCACTTGTAGTGTCAAGTTTGTATAACGGTGATGAGGGAAGGAATAAAGTTGACTCAGGTATATTGACCCATATTTAAGTCTGCCCCTATTCCGTTGAATAGTCCGTTGTAGGGAATTGAGCCCTGGACGATCACGCATCATTCTAGCGGAACTGAGAGGAGATTCTGTATTACACGATGCTATTACCACTTCTGTTCACGGCTTGCGGCACCTAGTTTTGACCAGTGGAAATTCAAAAGGAAACCTGAGTTAAGTAAGAAATCATATTTGATGGTTTTGCTGCCATATATGGGATATTTCCACCGGAAAATTGTATTTCTTTGTCACGAGAAAAAACATTCCTTTCTCCTGTGAAAAAGGAGTCATTTCTGCCAGCCATTTTTTAATTCCCGACGATCGGATTGTCCTTCTTTCAGGGCTTTTCAGTGCTTTCCGACCATCGCCCACCGTCGCACAATGGCCGGGAATTTTGAAATGGCCGGTAGAAATCAGTTCTTTTGCTCGGAAGAAAAGTTGTTAATTTTCACACCGAAAGCACTTAACTTTTGACCCAATAAATCAGCCATTCTTGGGGGAAAAAATGGTCTATTTTGCGCAGAGTCTAATACAACTTTTTGCTTGAATTTCTGCCGCGAGAAAGTTGGCTCGGCAACTCGTGGTTCCAGGGAACCGAACTCTTGGCTTTCCCATTCGATAACCACGCATGATGGCTACTCCACCATGACGGATATGTACCAGCGACCATTGTGAGCTATGGGTAGCAATTGTGAAAATATGTGAGTTGTATGTGAGAGCAAGCCTGAGGGAATCTATATATTATGGGACGACGACCGCTTAGAATCCCATCAATTTCTAAGCGATTTTTTTTGTGATTGCATCACGCCGCACTCCTTGCCGCCTCACGGGTGCCCCGGACGGGCCTCGCGCCGAAGGCGCGCAAGCGAAGCTTGTATTCCTTCATGGCTTGCATGTCATGTTCCTTTAGGTTAGCCTAACCTCCGCGACAGAGAGGAAGGATAGCTTGAATCCAACAAGCCTGCTTCACGTCTGGGAGAATAATTGCTCTTACTGAATAGAACTCGCAGTTCTGGATGTACGAAACAAAAAAAACGGTACAGCAGCGCACCTTTCTATCCATGCGTGTGGAGTAGTTGAGGATGTAGTTGGCCAAAATAAAGGATGTCTACGGAACCTGAGAGAGTACAGTACAAAAGCCGAAAAACTGACGCGGGCACACGAGAGTTCCGTTACAGGGAATCGAACCCTGGGCTATCGCGAGGCATCATATGGAGCTGCCTTGAGAGGCGATAATGTTAGCCACTACACCATAACGGAGCTGGTGAGTTTATTCTTACTGGTGTTGTTCTGGTTCCCCTCGGGAGAGTAACCGGTAAATGCGCTGGAGAAAGAGTTGAGATACACGCCGCTCAGGTTGTGATTCAATCGACAAGGTCAAACTGCAATACAATGTGGAAGTGACAGGCGACAGTTGGTGACTATGGGTAAGGATTGTGGCAGATGTCTCAGAGCAAGCCTGAGGGATTGCTGAGGGAAGAACGACCTGGAACAAAATGCGTTCCCTTCTCCACCTGATGTATGTCTCTTTCGGTTAGCACGAACTCCGTTACGGAGAAGAACGGTCGCTTCTGCCTCAGGTCTGGGGGAATGCAGAGCATGTTACGTATATCTAGATTGTTCGTACTACTTAGGGATATCTGAGCAAACTCGCAACTCGGGACATACCAAAAATACTTTCCCGGGCAACACATTGCTTTCCAGGGAATTGAACCCTGGACTATCACGCATCATTCAGTGGAACCGAACGAGGGGCGATAGAGTTGACCACTACATCAGAAAGGACCCACTACCTGATACGAAGCACGACAAGTAAGAGAAGAGAAGAAAGGAAGACGAACATGTGTTTACCTCGTTTCTTGCCTCATGTTGTTTGTTCATTCATAGCCCGACATTCGTTTCTATGTACTCTTTTCGTCCGGAGAAACGAAGAATCGTGGCTCTTGTGGCATTCAGGATGGGAAGTGAGGGCAAAACATAAAACATACGCAGAGATGCTATCATCCACTTCCGTCCCAGGGAACTGAACCCTTGGCGTTCGCGGTCGGTAACTGCGCATGATGGCTACTACACCATAACGGAATTGTACAACAGTCAGTCGGCGGGTATGAGTAAGGGTTGTGTGAGAGGAAGCCTGAAGGAAGATTCCTTTTTTGATCTGCATGTCGTGTTCGTTTAGGTTAGGCAAAAGAGAGGAAGGATAGCTTGAACAGAATCAATCTGAAAAGCCTGCCTCGCTTCTGGGAGAAAGCGTATGTAGATTGCTCTTGCTGAACAGACTCGCAACTTGGGAACAAGCAAAAGAAAAATCGAAAAATCGATTCGAACTCACACTTGCATTTCGTTGCAGGGATTCGAACCCTGAGCTATCGCGTTCAGACGGAGAGGATCAGCAGAATGAGAGGCGATAATGTTAGCCACTACACCATAACGGAGATAGAGGCCCAGATCCATATGAGACCCAGTGCGAGACGTATCATGCATGCATTCACCTCGTTTGTCAATGCTCGTTGACGCGACTTACACCTGCAGTAACCTGTAATCTTTCTGTCCGGGAGTAATCCCTTTAGGGGAATTGGGGGGGAAAAAGAAAGGATGTATTGAGTATCTTTACGTCCATCTTAGGGAATTAAACCCTGGGCAGCCGCCTGTGATAACTACAAATCAGAGGCGCCACTACACCACAGTGGATAGGTGGAACTCAGATTCGTCATCAATTGATGAGAACCTTTGGTATAGTCGCTATGATAGATAGGAATACATCTCTCTCTAAGTATCTTATCCCTTGATTTATACTGGTCAAAGTTAGCACTAATTCTCGGCTTTTGTAGCAAATAAGATACAGCTCGTTTGACGGTATGTCAGCTTGGTGCCTTCCCCTTCTACCACGCATCTAATTTTATTACACTAGACAAGTAGGGTAGGATGACTGATTGATGTCTTCAAGACTCGGATGACCCACACTTGCCCTTAAGAGGTAATGCTTCGCATCTAAGATAGCGATACACGAGTTTACGAATGTTAGGCCACTGTTGCCCGCATTGGGTTGAACGTCTGGGACAAAAGGGAGAAACTGTCTCAGTAACCAATAGCCCACCGCGAGGGTCGAACTCGCAGCCTTCAGATTTCGAATATGCGTCCATTGCAATAAGAGTCTGACGCTCTATCCGATTGAGCTAGGCGGGCTATGGGGGGTTCAGAAAGGCACGCCCACTGAGAATGGCGCCGATAACTTACCTGTCCTGTTTTGCTCGACACGAATTACCTAGCCGACATGGCTTCACAGGGACACCGAAGACGTGAAACTGAATACTTACCTGCCAGAAGAACGAAACGTGTAGGAGAAGCGAAGAAAAGAACAGTGACACGTGTTTACGACATCAGTGGGACCTCGGACACTCTGGTTCGCTTCGTTTCTTTCCTTCGCCTCTCATGTCCCCACAATCGCTCCGTCTACTTCAACGTGTGTCGTCCCTCCATCCATCTTCCTGCTCACTTTCCATCGAGTCCCAGCTGTCGACCCGAATTACGTTTCTCATAACCATTATTATGGGGGTAGCTATAGATTGGATGATGTTGGCGAAAGGTACGTCTTCCGACTCTTGGATCACGATATGGCGTTCATCCGTTTTTTTTTTTTTCGTTCCCTGGCCTTGTAGAACTACGGATAAGCGTTCCTTCACAGGCTCGACTACTCTCTTCCTCCCAACGTGTATCTTTAACATCGCCGGCGACACGGCTCCGGAAGCACACTGTCTACGCGTCCAGCTACGACCATTCCTTCGCACTGTCAACTCTACCAGACACCCATCATCCGACCAAGTCATGCCGTTTGCCTTCATCTCGAAACACAGAGCTTACGCAGAACACGTAGAGTGGTCATTATATGCGGAAGTTTCGTTCCGACTACATCTTCCTTTCGTGCGCTACTCATCGACGCCATTTGCTAGACTACCACGTTTGTGCTTCCTACTGAGATGGCAAGTGTTTTTATCCTCCTCTATCTGTCGACATGTATCCTTCGTGCGTCCTTGATAATATTTCTTCCAGGGCCGAGCTAACATTTTCTTTACAGACGGTTCTGACATCTTGATCCTCCCGCTCCACTCCGTAAGTCCTCCACTCCGTAAGTTCTCCTCATGCCTGTTCCTTTTCTAGCTTTATTGGTTTACATTCTTCTTCCACGTCAAGTGCTGATCCTTAGCCTTTCAGAGCACAGAGTCTACTCCCGCGCCTCTTGGTCCGAAATTCACCTTTCCCTTCACAGGTTGACGCATCTCCTTCTCCATCGGCTCAACAGCTTCTTTACGCTCCAATTCCATCCTCACGACACCCTTGAACGTTCAAGCTTTCAAGGCCGACGCACTATGCTTTTCTGCCGTATCGTAGGAGAGAGGGAGATTGAGTGCAAAAAGGGCACAGAGAGGGCACGAGGTTCGTTCCTACATTCCCACCTCTCGTTTCATTCTCGCTGATCAATATGCCTGTCTAAAGTGTGTCGTGCCTTTCACGTCGCGTTTGATAAAACCTTAAACAGCGGAGTCGTTCGACCAACGTTTTCCCTAGAAGTGAGCTGTTTGATCCCTACACATCCACCTACGTCTTGCGTTCCTGATTGTTTTATCTCGTCGGTTTCCTCCATACTCGACGTACGACAGGAGAATATACCCACAGTTTCCCCGATGTATTACATGCTCGTCCTGACTATCGATACGTAGAAGGGTCTTCGCGTGCCTGGGAGTTCACGTGTAGAGTAAATTCAATGATAATCAGACAATTTTGTTTCTTCTTGGTCCTAAGAGTTTGACGCTCCATCCGTTTGAGCTGGGTATGCTTCAGTTTATGACCTCAACCTGTGGAGGTCGATGAGAGGCCACTGTACCCTATATAATGGATGAAGAGGTGCAGATTCATTCCATGGCCAGACATGTGGGAGAGAAGAGAGGTCCAAGATCGGCATCAGAGCGGACATGAATGTGTTTACCGCGTATCTTGCCTCAGTTAGCCCTAGACTCAGTTCCTATAACCTCTATTCTCTCAGCCCATGTTGCGTGATAAATAACTTCTGGGCGGAATTGGAGGACGAAAACATAAAATATCCTTACAATACACTACACTTCCGTTTTAGGGGATTGAACCCTGGGCTGTCGCCTTCTAGTAACTAGTAATCTGCCACTACGCCATAACGGAGATGTAGGGATAAGTTCGCCATTGATTCATGAGAGCCATTGGTATTGTATAACGAGCATGAGATCTGGCTCATCACGGGAGAAAAAAATGTGGGAGAGACAGAAGAACTACTGTTAACTTGTTTGTCTGTTCAGCAGGGATAGCATAGCATCTATCTCAAGATATGTTGTTCGGTCATTCATCCTGGACGGACTTACCTCAAATCAGCCTCAGTAGCAGATAAGATACAGAAAGGAAGGGGTGTTGTTAGTTCGTTGCCTCACCTCTATGACGCGTCCAACTCTATCGCTCTAAACGAGGAAGGAAGGATAGTCATACCACTGTTTCCCTCGTCGACATGAATTCCCAAAAACCAGAGGTAATGGACCTATACAATAGCCCACCGCGAGGGTCGAACTCGCAGCCTTCAGATCGATATTGTTTACTCCCCTTCATAAGAGTCTGACGCTCTATCCGATTGAGCTAGGCGGGCGATGGTATCCGGAAGACACGCCCAAATAATCAGAGCAACAGGGCGTCTTGCTCTTGCCGTTTTAGCTCTGCGGGTAGAACAACGCACATAAAAACAGTGGTCACATTTTACCATCCATTCCGTTGCAGGGAATTGAACCCTGGGATATCGCGACTACCTGCGAGGCAAGTTAGGAGAGGCGATAATGTTAGCCACTACACCATAACGGATGTTATGCAAACGTGGTAGGTTCTTGCCTACATTTTACCGTGAAGAGAACAATCTTGCCTGCAGGAAGGATGAAACGTGAAGAAGAAAAGAAGAGCGACACGTGTTTACGATATCCAAGTCAGTGGGACCTCGGACACTCTGGTTCGCCTCGTTTCTTTCTTTCGCCTCTCATGTCCCCACAATCGCTCCTTCTCCTTCAATGTATGTCGTCCCTCCACTCATCTTGCAGCTCCCATTAACAGATCCTTTGTTAGCCCGAATTTCATTTCCAACAACCAGCATTGTAGGGTGGATTAGATGATATTGGCGAAAGGTACGTCCTATGATGTTCTCGTCACGATCTGGCGTTCATCTGTCTTCCAGAATCTCTCCTTCCTCTCGATTTCGATGTTAGGCATACTCTCACAACCATGAACCCAACATCAAGAACGCGGACCCTCAGTTTTTCGACTACATCTCACTTCCTCTCGAAGCATGATCTTCCCCACACACCGACCCAGACCCGTAGCCTTCTTGCTCATAGGCTCGATTGCGTTATACCCTCACGATTTTGTTTGACGTCGTTATGGCTGAGGGTTTACCCGCATCGTTGGGGAAAGTGGGCTAAAAAGGGAGTTCTGGGGTAGAAATGACTCAAGGTTCGTTCTTACTTTACAGCTTACTCTTTTCGATACTAATCGCTCATAGAAAGTGATTAATCTTCCTGTCAAATCTTCATTTTGCATAAACCCCCCATTTTCACCGCAAGATGTGGATTGTACGTTCGTTCCACCTCCCGGTGCGTTTATGCTGACATTTTCTCTAGCCCAGTGGTGAGGTGACATCTCGATATCAACGACATGATAATGAATAACCACAACACTTGTCGACTGATCAATCGTTCTGAGTACGTTTGCCCTAGTCGTTCGAAGGATTGTCATGACTAAATAGCATCCAAACCATAGTCATGTCATGAAATGTCTGCATTGTGGTAGTTTAGTACAGATTTCCGAATCCTGATCCTCACGTGTAGAATAGAGAATAGAATGGGTGATAGTGACGTCTGGCTCTCAGACCTGGCGACCTATGTAGAATATGGAGGCGTTAGGACTGAACAACCAAAAAAACCTACTCCAGAGCATTTTCACAGTGCCCGGCGTAATTCGAACACGCGCCTTCAAGATTACCCCGGCATTGCAATCTCACACTCTACCACTGAGTTACGGGCACTTGTGGAAGGGGCGCTTGATCTAGCTGCCAAGTCGTGGGGAGAAAGACAAAAGTGTCGATCGCATTGTTTTTTCCTAGAAAAGAGTCTGTCCGCTAATCTTCGCTGAAGTAGACGGGCTCTAGAGCACTAAGTTTCCTGCTGAGGAAGGAGGCGAGCAGCGATTTGAGAAAGGAACCGACAAAACATACCCTCTTTCTCTTGTACTTCCCCCTAGCCGATTCGAACGACTGACCTCTTGTCACCAAGGAATACGAGTGAGACGTTGTACTCCTGAGTCAAGGAGGAATATGGCATTGCGAACACTGAAACGAGCTCACAATACGACGCCGGTGAGGAAAACCAAAGCCAAGACGCGCACTTTGGTGATCTTGCGGCTGAGGCTCGAAAGAAAAAGTCAACGTGATGTAACGGTGTGTTGACATAAAATTTTCTCGACCTCCGTTCTGTGCGCCATCAAATTCTTTGGTTATCTGAGACAGATGTGATAACCGACTACATCATCGAACCGACGGGGTCTCTCGGTGACGTGTTATCCTGCCCTGAGCTGATGGACGCGCAAACCCCTCGCCTCGTGTTGTTGCAATGTTCGTGCTCTGTAATCCTCTGAGCTTTACGTGTTCGGAGTGTAGAATGTGCTCAAGTGTTCAAAGATTCCGATCTACTGAAGCTTAGCGTATAGAATACCACAGTTACTGCCTTGACCCAAGAAGGTGAGCACAAAGACGGATGTGAAAAAATGCATATACCTCAATATCGTTATGAGATGGGATATAAGGCGATGATGAAAGCTAGCCAGCACATTTTATGAAAAACGCAATGAATGCTGAGAGAACCACATGAGCTACAGCTGAGGGGATGAAAGGGAAGCTTACCCTTGACGTGTTGGCATCCCGCGCTGGACGAAATACTAGTGAGAATATCAGAACGGAGTAAGGCGTGGGGTTTTGTTGATTATCGATTCTTCTCGATCGCTACATTGATGGACTCCTCAATGCCATCTGGTTCCTTCCCGTCATCATCACTGCCCAAACACACTGGTTTGTCCTGCATACAATCCATATTAGTATAGAAAAGCGGACCGAGTAGGACGACTTAACGATGTGGCACCAACATCTCTATCGACCATGTATTCCTCAAGAGCACGTCTTTCCGCAAGTTACAGCATTTCCGTCATCCGCAGAAAATGATTGCGGGGAGACAGAAACAACGGATCCAACATCGGTTTGCACTAGCCAATTCTTGGTCGCCCCGAGGATTTATCGCGGGGATCGTATCCCGACCCTTGTCTTAGGAAGCACGCTATACTGGTAGGAGATAGCACACAAAAAGACATGGCAAAGGAAGACGACTTTCTCCGATGTTTAGGGATCAAGAAGCTAGCTGACGTTGAACATTTGGACGTGTTGCCAGTTACATAGTCCCATACCATCAAGACACGGGTGTTCATTGATTTTTTGATTCAGGTACACCCGAGGCTGGAGCTTTGTTCGGCATTACGCCTTTCGCATATAAACATGAATTTGATTATCGAGGTCATGAGGCTTAGATCATCTGCCAAAGAAACGAGGACCAACTGCATTTAAGCTTGAATGAGGCTGAGGGCGGTGGCGGCGCCGAGCTATAATTGTATTTACTGGCTCTCCCAAGGAGCTGATGTATTAATATCCCCATCACTTTCTTTCAATGGCCATGTTCACCTTGATAAACTCTGGGTCGTACCAACGGTTAAGTGCAATGATTACTCACTGACTGATCCGTGGTATCTACCGCACGTAGGCTACTCTGAAAGGTTTATAAAGAGCATTTACTATGCATAATATATCATCGAAATGGGCGGCGGAACACTACTTGCGAAGCTGAATGCACTAGCCGTGCTGATTGAATGTATACTTTACGGTAAGTTCAAGTTCTTGGAATTCATTCATTATTCTGCACTGGAGCTTTTTCATAGGTGTATTTGCTCTTCTTCTTGCAATCAATTCCATGGCGGCGTTTCGAAAGAAGATCACTATGCAGGCTGTTCGATTCCACGTGATTGGGATTTTGATGTTTATTTTATGCAACACAGGACGTACCCGTCTAATTAGACACCCTTGAAAATCAAGCACGCCGTCTAACTAGACTTGGCGGGAGCGTGTGCGCCTTGAAGTCTAGTTAGACGACCTTCCGAGCTGGGACGCGTGATATGCCATTTGTGGGTACTGTCCCGTCCTCTCCTTTCCTCGCACATCGTCCACTGCGTCTGCAGCTCCGATAGTGTTCCATTGCCCGTATCATTTATCTAGGTATATACTCGCTGATGTTCAGTTATAACTTTAGGAAACAATGAGGGAAACAAGGAACAATACTTATATATCACCAGTGTTATATGTAGTGTCGCCCGAGGTATCTTCTAAGATTCATCGGCCCTAGAGTCTAGTTAGACGGCCTTCGCACGCTCGAAATAGTATTGGTGAACATAGGCGGGCGTCTTGTGAGATATGTCGGCCCTATGGTCTAGTTAGACGGCCTTCCTTGAGAGCAAAATTGATGACGGATACGTCACGGATGTCTAGTAAACGATTACGGCCCTAGAGTCTAGTTAGACGGTCTTTTCATTCTCGAAATAGTAACGATGAACGTACGCGGGCGTCTTGTGAGACATACCAGCCCTATGGTCTAGTTAGACAGCCTTTGTCGAGAACGAGATCAGGTGAGAAATGCGTCACAGGTGTCTAGTAAAAGATCCTGGTCCTAGAGTCTTGTTAGACCGCCTTTGTCATTCTGAAAATAGAAGTGATTTGGATGAACATTACCACGTGTAAGTGTCTAGTGAGAAACACCGGCCCTATGGTCTAGTTAGACAGCTGCATCCGGGATCAAGATAGATATCGGGCTGAGAATCTCCGCCATTAGAGTCTAGATAGACGGTCCCGCTAAGGGGTCCGCTTGCACTGCTGCCCTACGTATTTACGTGCCAGGCCTGATATGTAACTCTTGAGATGTACCTTTGAAACATAGCTTCAAGCCGTGGAAGGGGGCAAATTCGAGACCTGTATGTCACGGTGTTGTCTCGTAAGAAATTTGGGCCCTGGAGTCTAGTTAGACAGTCAAATTCAAAATAAACGGGATGACGCACGTGGATGTCTTGTAAGGAAACTTCCGCCTTACTGTCTAACTAGACAGTGCCCAAGCGATCAAACATCAATCCGAGACGCAGATGTCTTAGAGGAAATTTCCAACCCCTTGTATGTCTAGTTATGATTCCTTAACGGTGGAGTAATGGAGGTAACGAACATACATTCTTAGTGAAGAAATACCGCCTTACTGTCTAACTAGACAGCCCCACATACAATCAAATCGATTCCGAGACGTGTTTACTGATGTCTTGTAGGAAAGATCCCCGCCTTAGAGTCTAGTTAGAAGACATTATGATGCGAGTATATGTATCACGTACCCTGTACCGCGTGTCTTGTAAGGAGCTTTTGCCTTATAGTCTAGTTAGACGACCCGGAGAAGTTCAGCAAGTAGATATGACCGTCTTGCAGGCTAATTAGACAAGTCCATCTAACGTCGGAGTCCTCGAGCAAGAGTAGTAGTTAACAAGAAGTCAATAACATTCTGTTTCGCAAGAACTAATTCACAAGATTTACGTGGCCGTCGCACTTCGACGAGGACGTTTAACACCATTTTCACCCCGAGCGAGTATGTCTTCGGCGTATTCTATCAAGGCATCCTCCCTCCTTCCGTCGCTTTCTCGTTCTTTGGAGCATCGATTGGGGCTATTTCAGTGGCAGAAAAGGTTGCATTGGCGGTTGTCGACGACTTAGAGGTACAGTTAGTACCCAGTAGCTGTGAAAGGATGAATCATGACTCACACTGTCCGAATTATATAAACCACTCCCAGCCATCGGTACGTCTGGTACACCAGAGTTTAAATCTCGCGGTCTGTATGGAAATAGAGCGGCCACTCACTTTGCTGTGGATTAAGGCCTTTGCGATGGGTACTCAGCCTCCCACATCGACGGATCGTTGAAGTCAAACCCACTAAAGAGCTCCTGGCTGAGGTCTGTGAACCCACCTCCAAGCTATGGCTGCTGAACTGCCACGGAATCATAACCAGCATGGTTCTGCCCGAGATCCAGTTGTAGTGCATACGCATCTGTATTGTTGGGGGGCAATTTCCAAGGGGGAAATTCCAATTGTTGGGCTGTGGAGTGGAGGTGTATAATGAACCTGGAGCAAGGACTGGAGTTCAAGATTAGTACAAGCCCACAGAATTGAGTGTTAGTCAACTCGTACCTTTGCCGTTTTCCAACGAACAATCCAGAATCTTCCGACTAAAAGTTATATCCCATCCACTTGTTCACGGCAGTAACCTGGAGTTTGGGTGTGCTGGATAGCATGGGGACAATGGTTGGGTTGCCAGCTGAAGAACGGAGGTAACGACCCTGAGATGGCTGAGAACTATGATCTCCTGAAGTGAAATCGAATCCATTACCGCAGGGGTTGGGATTCCTGGGTTCATCCAACGTCTGGGGTGATGGAGTCGGGTTCGAGACTGCAGGATCTGCCGGCGTTCTGTGGAATTGGCTGAACCGGGACTGAGATTGCTGGGTCTCACACGACGTCTGAATAGCTAGAGTTGGGGTCGAGATTGCAGGATCCACCGGCGTTTGAGCAACTGGCTGGGCAACGGGAGGCAGCTGAGTTTCTGACTGGATGGGTGAGGTTACTGGATCCACAGGTTTTTGAGGAGCTGGCTGAACAGCAAAAGATGGTTGAGGGGTTAAGGATACAGGGTCGATCTGAGGAGCTGGATTTGCAACCGATGCCACGTTGTTCTGTACAGCCTCAGCCGGAAACGGACGAATCATGGGACATGCCGCCGGCTTGAATGTTGAATCGTCGGATACAGAAAACCGTTCCCAGCCTGCAACTTGTCCACCTTCTTCACTGCCATAGTCGCCTTTACTGCTACTGTTAGCAGCATTCGCCCCCCTCTTGAAGATTCTGCTTT